CCCCCCATTTCAGGACCCCACCCCGTGCCCCTCCCCGTTCCCCGTGGCACCCCCGGGTGCTGGCGGGCCCGGGGCTCACCCAGGGTGACGAGCACGTGGCGGATCTCGGCGCCCATGACGGTGCCGTTGCCCTCCTTGTCGAACACGCGCAGCCCCTCCACGTAGTCCTCGAAGCAGCCCTGGTCCTTGTTCTTGGCGATGGTTTGCATCATGGGCAGGAACTGCTCGAAGCTCAGCGTCTTCACGTTCATCTCTGCGGGACGGGCACGCTGGGGGGGGCCCTCCCAAGGGGGTTTTGGGGATGGGGGGCGTGGCGCTCGGGGTTTGGGGCTGGGGGTCTCTGGTGATGAGCGTTTGGGGTCTCTGGTGCTCAGGGTTTAGGGGTAGGGGTCTCTGGTGCTGGGAATTTGGGGTGGGGGTCTCTGGTGCTGGGAATTTGGGGGTGGGAGTCGCACTGGTGATGAGGATTTGGGGTTGGGGGTCTCTGGTGCTCAGGGTTTGGGGGTCTCAGGTGATGCGGGTTTGGGGTCTCTGGTGCTGAGGATTTGGGGTCTCACTGGTACTGAGGATTTAGGGGTAGGGGTCTTGTGCTGAGGGTTTGGGGGTCTCTGGTGGTGAGGGTTTGGGGTGGGGGTCTCTGGTGCTCAGGGTTTAGGGGTAGGGGTCCCTGGTGCTCGAAATTTGGGGGTGGGAGTTGCACTGGTGATGAGGATTTGGGGTTGGGGGTCTCTGGTGCTCAGGGTTTGGGGGTGCAGGTCTTGCTGGTGGTGAGGATTTAGAGGTGGGGTCTCAGGATGGTGCTGAGCATTTGGGGCTGAGGGTCTCGCTGGAGCTGAGGATTTGGGGTTGGGGGTCTCTGGTGCTGAGGTTTTGAGGGTGGGGGTCTCGCTGGTTCTCTCCGCAGTGCTCGGGGCTGGGCGCTGGCTGGCTGGGGGGTGTCCTGGGGGTCTGGGGAGGGGTCTCCCTCGCCCCCCACTCACCATCGCTCTTGGGGTTGCCCAGCACCTTCATGACCTCGGCGTTGGTGGGGTTCTGGCCCAGCGCGCGCATCACGTCCCCGCACTGGCTGAACAGGATCTTCCCGTCCCCGGTGCGGTCGAACAGCTGGAACGCCTCCTTGAACTCTGCGGGACCCCCGGTCAGCGTGGGACCCCCGGGACCCCCCCCCGGTCAGCGTGGGACCCCCGGGACCCCCCCGGGATCCCCCCGGTCAGTGCGGGACCCCCGGGACCCCCCCAGTCAGTGTGGGACCACAGAGATCCCCCCTGGTCAGTGCGGGACCCCCGGGGCAGTGCGGGACCACCTGGATCTCCCCCGGTCAGTGTGAGACCACCAGGACCCCCCCCGGTGAGCACAGGACTCCCGGGATCCCCCCAGGGCAGTCTGGGACCACCGGGACCCCCGGTCAGTGAGGGACCACCAGGAACCCCCCGGGGCAGCGCGGGACCACTGGGACACTGGGACCCTCCTGGGGCACCCGGGACAACCGGGACTTGTCCCCCCCGCCCAGGGCAGTGTGGGACCACCGGGATCCCCTCGGGGCACCGTGGGACCACCGGGACCCTCCCTGTATCAGTGCCGGGTCCACCGGGATCCCCCCGGATAAGCACAGGACCACCGTGACCCCCTCCTGGGTCAGTGCCGGGACCACCGGGACCCTCCCTGCGCCCGTGCGGGGCCACCGGGACCACCGGGACCGCCCCCCGGCTCACCACGGGACCACCGGGGCACCGGGACCTCCGGTTTGTCCCACCGGGACCCCCGACACACCGGGACCTCTCCCGGTACCCAACACCTGGGGGACCCCCGGGACCCCGCACCCCTCCAGACCCCCCCTCTCCGGGGCCGCCGCTCGGGTTTCGCTCCCCGGTGCGATCCGGTTTCCCGGTGGGATCCGGTTCCCGGTGGGATCCGGTTCCCGGTGGAACCCGACGCCGGCCGGGCCGGGATGCGGGCGGGGTCCCCGCCCTCGGGGATGCTGCCGGTGCCCGGTGGGTCCCGGAGGATCCCGGCGGGTCCCGGGGCACCGGGAGGAGCCCGTTGGGTCCCGGGGCACCGGGAGCGCTCCGGAATCCGCCGGCCCCGCCCCGCAGGAATGCGCGGCGGGCGCGCGCCATGCCCATATAAGGGCAAATTGCGCAGGAGGGGCCCGGACCCCCCCGGTCCCGGTGCCGGTCCCGATCCCGGTTCCGATCCCGGTGCCGGTCCCGGTTCATGTCCCGGTTCCTGTCCCGGTCCCGCATCCCCCATCCCCGCCCGGGCCGGACTTTGCCCCGGGAAAGGCCCCGCCCGAGGCCGCGCAGGAAGCACCGAGGGCGGCGGCACCGGGAGCGGCGGCGCCGGCCCGGGGGGGCCTGGCCGTGCCCCGAGGTTAATTATTCATGAGGGGGCGGGGCCGGGCGGGCCACGCCCCTTTCCCCGCGGGGATGTTTTGGCTATAGATGGGCACGGAGATGTCACCCCCACCCCCCCACGGGGACACCCCCGGCACAGGGGACACCCCCACCCCCCCCGAACGGGGACAACGCCCGGGGACCCCCCCAAAGGGGTGACGTCACATGGGGACACCCCAGGGGACACCCACAGGGGGGGACGTCACACAGGGACACCTCAGGGACACCTCAGGGGACATCTCGGGGGTCACTCGGTGTCTGGGACCCATGGGGACACCCAGAGGGGACACCCAGAGGGACACCCAAAGGGACACCCCCATGGGGACATCACACAGGGGACACGCCCAGGGCCACCCCTGTGGGGACATCACAGAGGGGGACACCCCATGGGGACACCCCAAGGACCGCCCACCCCCACAGGGGACACCCCCATGGGGACATCACACTTGGGGACATCACGCAGGGACACCTCAGGGACACCTCAGGGACACCTCAGGGGACATCTCGGGGGTCACTCGGTGTCTGGGACCCATGGGGACACCCACGGGGACACCCAAAGGGACATCCCCATGGGGACACCACACAGGGGACACGCCCACAGCCGCCCCTATGGGGACATCACAGAGGGGGACACCCCATGGGGACACCCCAAGGACCGCCCACCCCCACAGGGGACACCCCCATGGGGACATCACACAGGGGACACGCCCAGGGCCACCCCTGTGGGGACATCACAGAGGGGGACACCCCATGGGGACACCCCAAGGACCGCCCACCCCCACAGGGGACACCCCCATGGGGACATCACACTTGGGGACATCACACAGGGACACCTCAGGGGACATCTCGGGGGGGTCACTCGGTGTCTGGCACCCATGGGGACACCCAGAGGGACACCCCAATGGGGACATCACAGAGGGGACACCCCCAGGGCCGCCCCTATGGGGACATCACACAGGGGACACCCCAGGGACACCCCATGGGGACATCCCCACAGGGGACACCTCAGGGGGGGTCACCTGGTGTCTGGAGCCAGAGGGGACACCCCCAGGGCCGCCCCTATGGGGACATCACACAGGGGACACCCCAGGGACACCCCATGGGGACATCCCCACAGGGGACACCTCAGGGGGGGTCACCTGGTGTCTGGAGCCAGAGGGGACACCCCCAGGGACACCCCCATAAGGGATACCCCCATGGGGACATCACACGGGGACATCCCCAGAGGGGACACCCCCAGGGACATCACACAGGGGGACACCCAAAGGGACACCCCAAGGACCGCCCTGCCCCACAGGGACACCCCCATGGGGACATCACACAGGGACACCTCGGGGGACACCTCGGGGGGTCACCCAGTGTCTGGACCCCACAGGGGACACCCACAGGGACACCCCACGGGGACACCCCCCGTTTTGGGGACACCCCGCTCACCCCTGGGGACAGCCCAGCAGGAACCCCAGGCTGGGGACACCGCGGGGGTGACAGAGGGGACACCCCACCCCTGCCCCGAGGCCACTGGAAGCCACCGCCGTGTCCTCCCTCCTTTATTAGCGCGGGGACAGCGACAGCCCCGGGCAGGCAGCGGGGGACAGCCGGGGACAGCCGGGGACAGCCGGGGACAGCCGGGGACATCCCGGCGGTGGCAGCTGGGGACAGCCGGGGACATCCCGGCGGGGACATCCCGGCGGTGGCGGCAGGCGCGGGGACATCCCGGTGGCGGCACGGTGGTGGCATCATGGCAGTAGCCTGGCGGTGGCGTCCTGGTGACATCTGGGGACATCCTGGTGGTGACATCTTGGGGACATCCCAGTGACATCCCAGTGGTGACACCTTGGGTACATGGTGGTGGTGACATCCCGGTGATATCCCAGTGACATCCAGGGACATCCTGGTGACATCCTGGCAGTGACACCTTGGTGACATCCAGGCAGTGGTGACACTTTGGTGACATCCCATTGGTGACACCTTGGGGACATCTCTGCGGTGACATCCCGGTGACATCTGGGGACATCTCAGGGACATCCCGGTGACACCTTGGTGACGTCCAGGCGGCTCAGGGACATCCCGGTGACACCTTGGTGACATCCCGGTGACACTTTGGTGACGTCCAGGCGGTGGTGACACTTCGGTGACACTTTGGTGACACTTTGGTGGCATCTCGGCGGTGGCAGCAGCAGCTCCAAGCGTCCCCCGGGGGGGTGGGGGTGACACACCCAGTGTCCCCCCTGGTTTGGGGGTCCCGGGGGGGGTGACACACCCCTGTCCCCATTTTGGGGGGTCCCGGGGGTCTCAAGGCACGCGTTCAGAACAGTCTGGGGGGGGCCGGAGCCTCTTTGGTGGCTTTCTTCATCCCCCCCCTCCTCCTCCTCCTCCTCCTCCTCCTCCCTGCCGGCCGCGCTCTCCTCCACTCGCTGCGACACCAGCACCTGCCAGGGGGCACAGGGGCGGTGCCCGCTCAGGGTGGGGGTCTCCCCTCGCCCCCCAGCCCCCCTCCAGGGGGCGGGACCCCCACTCACCCCGAGCTGCGCCCGCAGCAGGAGCTGCGCGCCCCCCGCCAGGGGCAGCCAGCCGTCCAGGGCCAGCCCCTCCCGCTCCAGCAGCCGTGCCAGGGGCAGGCTCAGCGTGCCCAGGCTGTGCCCGCCTTCCCCCTTCACCTGCGGGCACAGCCAGACCCCCGTGAGCCCCCCGGGACCCCAGACCCAAATCCCCCCCCGCCGGGGCACCTGCAGCTCCAGCGTTTCCTCGTGCGGCCGCTGGATGAGGAAGGAGAAGCCTTCGTCCCACACGGGCTCCGTGGAGGGGGCGCAGGTCTGGGGGCGTGGGGAGGGGCGGCAGGGGGTCAGAGACCCCCCGGACCCCCCAGAAATCCCCCGGAGCCCCCTCCCCACCGGGGCTCACCTTGGTTTTGAAGGAGACGTCGCGCACGGCCAGGCTGGCGAAGGCCGAGGGGGGCTTGGAGCCCTTGCGGAGCTGGGGACATTGGGGACATTTGGGGACATTTGGGATATTTTGGGATATTGGGGGACATTTGGGGACACCCGGGGGCAGCCGGGGGCGCTCGGGGGGCTCCCCTCACCGGCAGCTCGGCGGCTCGGTCCAGGAAGACGCGGAGCAGAGCGGCGGAGAGCGCCGGGCCGTGCTGGGGCTGCAGGAGGCGGTTGGTGTGCAGCACCTGCGGGGCGGGCGGGGGTCGCACCAAGGTGGGGAGGGGTCGCACCGGGCTGGGGAGGGGTCGCACCGGGCGGGG